TTCCGGGGCAGCATGCTGAGCAGCATGTAATCAACCAGGAATTCATATCAGCTTTTGCCTTCCAGTCACTGTTGAGTCTCCGTTACGCTCTTTCCCGCGACGCCACGGAACACTGGCAGCTAATCCCCTTGATCCTAAGTCCCATTTTCCCCTGCCGCCGGTAGAGGACTCGTATCATAGTTTTTCCAGCTCGCCGGATATAAATGTGTTTTTCAATAGAGGGACCAGCTGCGACCAGCCACCCCGAGCAGCTTTTCGTTTTCACTTTTGCTCTCTTTTCGTCAGCGGCGCCCCTTCAAGACGCTGTCCGGAGGCGTTTCGGAATGTTTCGCTCGCTTCGATCCCGTATCGGAATGCACCGCGTATGAGGAATGGGTTGTGTGAGCAGCGCGAGTGTGGGCGGGCATACTCTCTCTCGCACAGGGACGGATGTATTAACACTTGCACTCTGGCGGGTTCATACACACTTACATACGAACAAAGACACATGCGAACACATACATTCACACACACACACTCACACACTCATACTCATTCACTCTCTTTCTCTCTTTCTCTCTCTTTCTCTCTCTTTCTCTCTCTCTCCTCCCTCTCTCCCTCTCCTCTCCCCTCTCCCTCTCCCTCTCCCTCTCCCTCTCCCTCTCTCTCTCTCTCTCTCTCTCTCTCTCTCTCTCTCTCTCTCTCTCTCTCTCTCTCTTCTCTCAATCTTTCACTCCCTCACGTACTCTCTCTAAACACACACACACACACACACACACACACACACACACACACACACACACACACACACACACACACACACACACACACACACACACACACACACACGCTCATTAAGTGAAAATACTTTTAATGTGGTTCTTTTTCATATGTCGGCTACTGTCATGCATATTAAGTTATTAAAGAGACAACCGGAAAAATCACTAATGAGCAGCCGCTATACACACTTTTTTTCAGGAAAAGTACAGAAATTGAAAAAGATGATAATATACAATATGTTCAAAGAACCGACAATATTACCTGAGTAAAATCTGAGAAAAATCGTGGAAGTAGACTAATGATTGGTTCGTCTTTGTCTTGGCGAATAACTCGATGTATTTTGTTTGTTGTTTGTTCACTAAAGTTTTGTCTAATAGTCCGTAGCTGTATGTTTAGCGCTGTTACTTTTCGCTGAAATGTTTTTTTTTTTTTTTTTTTTTTTTTTTTTTTACAACCCTTCCTTGCACACACACACACACACACACACACACACACACACACACACACACACACACACACACACACACACACACACACACACACACACACACACAATATATATATATATGTATGTATGTATTACTATATGTATATATATTTATTGTATTTTGACATTACTTACTGAAATAAGTCACGGGAGGATGAAAGTGTCTTACGATAACAAATTCCTACCGATGTGAGGGTTTTAGGATGAAAGAAGGAAGAAAATCTGAAAATCATCAATTTTTTCATATCTCTTCATCATAAATGTGGTAGGTATGATTCGATTTTGACGTAAATAATGTATGTATTACTTGAGGGTTCGACAGCAATGCACGAGCAGTGGTGAGTCTCTTTTTCGAAAAATAAACGAATAGGAGTCATTTATTTTAGGATGTTTCAGTCGACCACGTGGCGAGCCAGGGGAGATTTTTCATGCTGTCGCCACCCGGTTAGTCTCTGCGCATAGCAAAGATTTTACGTTTTTTGTGTGACTTAGAGCCTAAGCAATCGAGAAAACGCATAGTAATAATAATGTAGGTACTTTCTACTAAATATAAATGACTGAAGTATATAAGGCTAAAACATCCCACATGGCATGTTAAATACCTCTATAAACTCGTGTGATATAGGCCTATAATTAAATTGTATTATTACACTAAGAAAAGAAATGTCCATGGGAAACAGACAGTGGGGAGATTATATTTCAAAATATCAAACGTTTTCTAAGCGGTTATTTCCAACGAATAAAATAACGATTCTAGGTTAATCGGTAACTACGAACCGTTTGTTACTCTAACCGTTTCTCGATATCTTTGCACATCTATACACATGTGTACGCATGCATGTGCACATATTTACACATACATGGACATATTTACATATAATATACATATATTTACATACACAAGTACATGTATGCACATAAAAAAAAAAAAAAAAAAAATCACACACGTGCACATTTGTGTAAACATATGTACGCAATTTTACATATACACACACACACAGACAGGTATGCAAATGTCAGCACAAGTAGATGCTAGAAAACAAAAATACAAGTGGCCTGAGACAAACAAACAACTCCGTCTATGCATACGTAATGATGCCGAGGTTAGCGTATATGGAGGTAGCATTTTAGTTTATGTTGTTACTCGGGAGCCAGGTAAGACTTTTTCTTGCAACAAACGGCATTTGAAAGGGAAATTTGTGGTTTTATAGGTAATCAGAAAATATTTATTATTGAAGAAAAGATTCAGGTAATTGACAGAAGTTTTCACAATTTTTCCTCAAACTGAAATTTTCCGAGCTTCTGTAGCGCTATTTTCAGTTTGTATCCGATCTAAGATTTGTTCGTATTATTAGAAAGCTAAAGGAATTCCGCAAAACTTGAACACGGTCTAATTATTCACAATAACCTTGTTTCTGTATTGGGTCATATTAAAAAAAAAAAAAAAAAAAAAAAAAAAGATTTTTTAAGTTTTTGCAAGGGTCGTTTTACTGAATTTGTTATTACTTTGGAACCAATATCCATATCTTCATATAACAAGCAGCATTAGAAAGGGAAATGAGTGTAGTTTCTCTGGTAATTAGGCGATGGAGACTAATTAAAGGAAATGAACACAAAATTACCTAGAACATCTCCAATCTTTTCTTCGTAAAATACAAAATAAAAATAATCCGTACAGCTATTTGCTAACAGTTCTTATCCGATTTAAATTTTGTCGGTATCATTTGAAAGCTATTAAAAATGCGGAGGAATTGACGTCGGCGTTAAATGGCCATATTGTTTTTTTTTTTTTTTTGTTTGTTTTGGCAATTTTTTGAAAATCTGAAGAAAGTGAAACTTTGATTTTGGGGATTTTTTTCTTTTTGAGAAAACTAAAGCAAATTTCGTAAAAAAACGAAACGTCATTCTCGGATTTTATCGATGATTATGTTGGGTGAAGAAAGTTTTTAGGGAGCTTCGCCCTCCTTCGGGGGATTCATATAAATTTAATACGATAAAGTGCAGAATGCTAAATTAAACAACATATTTAAATTTGAAGAAAATCGGTAAGATAGTTTTTTTTTATTAATTTTATTTTTTTACCCCCTTCACCCCCCCTTCCTCCCTACCCATTGCCCCTCTCCGGTCCCCTTAATTAACGTTTAACAGGCTATATTCCTTACTAGAAAATTAAGAAAAAATACTATCCAGCACGAAACGTTTGTGCATGTTTCACAATTTAGAATAGGTATTTATGTGTATTATATATCGCATATTTTATAGCGGTAGAATGTACGACTGACATCAGCTTAACATATACGTTCTTAATTGTAATTGTAAGGCTTAATTCTTGTGTATTTGATCACCAAAGAAACGTAAACATAAGCAAAAATTAAGCAAAACAAAAGAAAAACAAAAAAATAATAACATGAAACAAAACGAAACAGAATATAAAGAAACAAACAAACAAAAAACGACAAAAAATAAAAATAACATGAAACAAAACGAAACGCAGAATACAAAAACAACAACAACAACAAAAACGAGAACCCACAAGCGGAGTACCAAGGAATCCTGACAGCTTCTACTTGTATTGCAGACACGACCCCGCCGTCCCCTGCCCCCGCGGCGCGTAAAATAATCGGGGGTCATTCATAAGACACGCGGGACACGGCGCGAGGAATCAGGAACCCCCCCACCCCCCATCTCCCCCCTTTGGCTGTTGGAACCTGTGGGCGCTCTTCTCAACTCTTGTCTGCGGGTTGTCGGGCTGGATCGATTCATGCTTCGAAGCTGCTGTGGGTATTTTCTTTGCGGGTATGTGTATGTGTGAATGTGTTTGGTTTGTTCGTGGGCGTGTGTGGGTTGCGGGACAGCGTCGATGTATGGAGATCAGTAAGACTAAGGGGCGGGGTGTGCAGTCATGGTCGAAACTCGAGCATGCTTCGAATTCCGCTTCGAATATTCGCTTAATACCACACTTTTCGTATAAGGTGAGACAGATTCGAGGCTTCAGTTCATCAGAGGACTTTTGTCAGTCGCTGTACCTTCTCGTTCGTATCTGTTGCCAGGGCCATATTTTGCCTCGAATGTAGCGGATAAAAGTCTCAGGGAATCGAAACGGACAATAATATATGCAAAAAGTGGTTTAGATGCGTAACTTGGGGGTGTTGCAGCTTACCGAATACGCATTTATATTGTTGAAAATACTTCATCTCCAACCGTGCTATATGATAACATAATGACGATGGATTGTTTACATGGTAAATGTTTCTTCGTGCAAATTGCGTGTGATGTGCTCTCTGTGTGTCTTTGTTACTGTTTGTGTGTGTGTGTGTGTGTACAGGATTAAATGTGTGTGATGTAAAATACAGCCTCGATCGTATAAAAGAATAATATTAATATTATCCCTGTGTGTACATAAGCTTATACAAATATGATGTATAATACATACTGTGATAATATAGAGAATGATATCGCATTCATTACAACTGCAAACCTAACTGCATGTTCAGTTAGACGAGATTTAGGCACACAGTACAGTACATTCATGGTACATTCACGGTACATTCACAGTACACTGAAAGACGCAAAGGCCTATTAATCATATTCCTAATCTCTCTTTAGGATCTGGAGACGTGCTTGTCGGACGAGACTTCAATTTCCATTTTACACGCACTGTTTAGTAGACAAATTGGAGAACCGGCGAAAGTATGGAATAGATTTAGAGGTATTTGAAAATCCTGAAGGAAAAGTTTGGTGTACCTCCTAGGACATGGTTCACTTTAGGTACACGTGGAAGACGCATATAGCTTTAGTGTTAGTACTCAGTACTTTTTTATTTTCTCTTTTTTTCGTTTAAAGCGATTCAAGCGACGTGGGAACACTTCGGAACGTCTTTTACCTTAGCTGGATTTTTTTTAGACTTTCGAGAAATAATAATTTCCGAGTCATCATCCCCCTTTTGTCCTGTCTCTCTCCCGCTCTAAGTAGCTTATACACATTCACATAAATTACGTCCGTGAAAGAGTTCTAAAGTTCGACGTCTTGTGCAGATGCTTGCATGATCTCGTGGATAATGTATATTGAAATTTCAGAATGCATAATATATGAGTTGTTAGTCCCCTGAATCTCAAGAACTTGCAAACTATCTGTCTTGCCAGCGCGAGCAACGGCGAGTGGACGCCCCTCTTGCCAGTGGAGGGAAACGCATCTTTGAAACCCCATCCGCCGACGATGATGGATCGCGCCGCGCAAATCCAGTTCCCAAGCATGTGATCCAGAGTGATGGGCATTATTGGAGGAAAATTCTGGTCGGGAAGGGGAGTGGAGGGGAGGGGGAAGGGGAGGGGGAGGGGCGTCTCGCAGCACTGTCGATATGCCGCTCTTTCGACTCACTTTCCCGCCAGTGGTCGCGCGGCGCCGGGAGAGGCAACACCGCTCTGCTCGTCCTCCCAGCTCCAGTCATCGCGGCTCGGGGCCCACGTCTCGCGGTCGGCTCGCTCGCCCTGGTTCTCGTTCTCGACCCTCGGCTGCGGTTCTGAGTTGGCATCCCGCGCGCGTCCTGTATCATGCGATTTCCGTACTGCAAGGACACGGAAACGAAATTAGTAGTCTGGTAAGGCCGCCGTTTCGCGAGACTCTCCGGCCCACTCGGCGACTTCGAGGATCTCGTGTGTCCCTTCGTGGGCGCGTGCGAGGGCGAGAGGCCACTCAGGTCCTGGGGCTTCCTCCGACGCCGCCCCGGGGAAGCATGTGGAGCCACGGGGCGTTCGCCAGCGTGGTCGCACGGCGGGGCTCCTGCACCTGCCTCGTGGGCCTCGCTCTTCTACTACTTGTTGCGGGTAAGTACGAGGCGGTGCGGCTCCTTCGCGCCACGCCCACCTCGCCTGCTGGCACTCGGCGATTTCGCCTTCGCGGGATATATGTATGGGTGTGTGTGTGTGTATTCATATATATAATTATATATGACATATACGTATATATACGTATGTAAATGATTATATAATTATGAAGATAATTGTGTATATATATGATTTGCATATATATGTATATAGTGTATTTACACGTATATAATTATATATGACATACATATACGTATATATGCATATGTGAATGATTATTTATATAATTATGAAGATAATTGTATATAAATATGATTTACATATATATCATATATGAGTGTAAATCTATATTTTCGTCTATGTATATATGTAGATTTTTGTATATGAAGGGGTATATATGTAGGGACGTACATACAGACACACACGCTTTCTCTACGATTCCTTAAGATTTCCAAATGTCGACCATGCATGTCTCAGTATTTAATTCGTAGAGTCGAGCAACCCGACGACAAACACTCGTGTCTGTTTCTCGCGGCAATTGCAGACATCATTGCCAACACGTGCACGGCAGAATTTTCTATTTTACCTGCATCATCCATCACGGGTAAGGGGGCAACGATTCACAGTGCGTGGAGAGAGAGAGAGAGACAAAAAAGAAAAGAAAAAGAAAGGAGGTTTTTAGACAGTTTTCGTTCGTTTATTCAGTATTTTTTTCGTTGATTTATTATTTTTAAAGTGGTAATCTGACGGAACTCGTGACGTTTGACATCATTAACAGACAGAAGAGTTTGTTTAAGAACGTGATTCACTTACGGGTATGACTATTAAGGAAATATGAAGCTATTATATCTTAGAGAACGTTCTTCGCAAAATATTCCTTTTGATTTCGTAACGGCGGGGGGGGGGGGGGTGGAAGGTCATTGCTTGTCATGCATTCCTGTGAATTCACTCAGCAACGCAGCATGACTTATGTTACAAAATATATCGAAAAGGTACAGGGGACACAGTTTGTAACGTAAAGGGGTGTGATAATAACACAGCTGTTGTTAGTATGAAAAGAAGTTCGTTTCATTCAGATAGGGCCAAAATTTAGTTTAGTTTAGTCCTTTATTTACCACCCTGGCCAACTGCACAGGCGTGGGTAAGCCGTGGTACATGTGATGCATGGTCAAAGCATTAGATAATAGTATTTCATTAGAAATCTAAGCTATAACATTATTACGATCTATAATATATCATTTAAAAGAAAAGAACAATCACAGTAATTTATCTACTCATCAACCAAGCCGGATACAGGGCCAAAACATAATGAAACTGGGCTGAATGATACCGTAGACTTTATCGCTCAATGTTAAATGAACTTTATAATCACTATATTACTTTTTTCAACCCAATTAGTACCATCACCACCACATTTATTACAAATGTTGTTTATATTTTCATGGTCATTGTTATTACCATCATCATTATTATTACATCATCATCATCATTATCATTATCGTTACTAATATGTTTAATATTAACACCATCCTGATCCGAACCATTATCATCATCACTAGGCATCATAATCACTGCTGTTATCATCATTGTATTTCAATTTTGATAATGCTGTTATTACCGTCAGTATTACCGTTATCATCAATATCAACGTTACTATATTTTCGTCAGAATTGTCTATTTTTGGTGTTGGTATTGCTGCAGTTTTCCCATTTCCCTCTTTCTTGTTATTTATATTATCATTATAGTTATCGCTATCGTTATCGGTATTATCATCATTATCATTATTAGGTGTAATTATTATTATTATTATTATTACTACTACTACTACTACTACTTTGGAATTATTCTATAATTGTTTTTGTTTTTTTATATTATTGCTTTTATTATTATCCATATAATTATCAATCATATTATTACTTTTATTATCGATATCATTATTATTGATATTATCATTATCATTATTATTATTGTTTTCATTGATATTATGATTATCATTACTATTATTATTATTATTATCATTATCATAATAAGAACAATGATAATAATAATTATTATTTCTGTTATTATCATTATTGACATAATTGTCATTATCATTATTATTATTATCATTATTTTGTTATTATTGCTATTATCATTGTTAACATTATTATTTTTAATGTTATTATTGTTGTTGTAGTTGTTTATTATTGTTATTTTCATTGTACATATCATGTTCATGATCATGATCATTGTTATTATGATTATCATTATTGGAGTAACTATTGTTATTATCGTTAATATTGTTATCGTCAATATCATTGGTTTTTTTT